ACTCACACCCTACCTGCTATAATGAAGATGAGGAATTTTTTAATAGATGATTGTCCAAAAAAAAACTTCCAGCAAACGTATTAAAACGAATTGACCATGCATGAATAGTCATGGCTAGTAAGTTAAATATTTCCTGGAGCAAAAACTTGAGAGTGTGGGTGTGAGTGTAGATTGTCTCTTTATCCGCACCCACAACCAAATCCACACACACCAACACACCCACATCCACGGGAGCACGACTATTGTGTGTAAGACTATTGTGTGTAGGACAATTGTGTGCAGACAATTGTGTGTGCGGACAATTATGTGTAAGGCAATTGTGTGAATGGACAATTGTGTGTTAGATAGCTGTGTGTAGGCAATTGTGTGCAAAATGACTGTATATATATTATGCGTAAATAAATATTTTTCTAAAAAAAAAGGTAATGAACAAAAGAAAAGTAATCAAATAACAAAAAATAATTCACGATGAACAAATCAGTGAACAATTATAACATGAACGCATGAGCAATCGCTTTTAGTTTTTTTTATTATTTTTTGTAAGACTTTTTAAAAACCACAAAACTTTGAATGCCGTTTGTTGAGTTTTGATTCTCATTGGTTTTAGTGTGAGACTTGTTACTAGTTGAGAAATTTCACTGCCTACATATGATTGTTCTGTTTGAAGATTTCTCGAAAAATCATCAAAATCCAGGATGGTTAAGTCTATGATATTGGTAAGTCATCAGTATCACTCCGACAGCGTTGTTTGTTTTCGAATTGATTCCTCAACAAACTGTGTGATTTCTAAAATCTGATTGGAAGTGTTGAAACTATTCTTCTTTTCTGGTTTCGAAGCTTCCTGGAACAATAATCTTCGCAATAATTGTAAAGCGGATTAAGGCCTGAAATTTGTAAACCACGAGTATCTTTAAATGATGCATAGATATTATTTTCATGCTCTTTCTTTCACTAGTATTAGTCAGTGCAAATTAAATAAATTGATATGCACATCATTGTCTGTTCTCATAATTGTCTTACACACAATTATCTTACACACAACAGTCATAGACCCCACACCCGCACCCTTTATTTTGTACACTTTTCTCTTGCCACCACTAATTTTTTGGTATGCCCCAAGTTTTTACAAGTATCATCATTATAAGAGATACAAAATAATCAAAACTTGATCATCAGTCTTTACACAATATTATCACCAGTGCCAAAATAATCAGATAATAAAAGGAGAAAGAAAGCTTATTAAATCCTTTGGATAAGACTGATGATCCTTCAGTAATATTTGTTATAAGTCTATAGGGTCTCGATAATGAAAAGTAGGGTAAATATTTTGCATAGGACGAAGCATCACTTGAATTTAGGAGTACCATATCGGAAAGAATATCTGCCCATATCGGAACAAATTTCATTCCCCAACCAGCAGCTTGTATCAATACTTTTTTGTTTGTATTAGGCACATAATCAAGTAGAAAACCATTATCAGGTAAAAATGTTGCTAAACATGTTCGATTTTTAACAAAATAATCATTTGGATCAACTTGTGCCAGATTTTGTGTGACAAAATCAATAATTTTCTTTATGATAAATGGATCAGCAATATTAGTTCGTTGTGCAGGATATAATAAAGCGTTAGATAAATTTTGAATAAAACTCGCTACAACAAATATATAATCCGATGTAGGATCAATAGAAAAGCCAGAAAACAACGATTGCAAATCCGCACCAGCCCACACAAACCATGTTGGTATTTGTGTGGCATTTGGTCGCAAGCGAAAATTAACATATGGCATTTCCCATAGAGTGACATTAAGATCAAAACCAAGAAGACGAGATACATTCTTGACAAAAGGACCAGGTATGAAAAGTGTTTTATGTTTGACACGTATTGATCCACGACTTGTTACAATATGTGTATAATTTGTTTTATCAATGGAAAGAAACTCTTCATTTTGACGAAGTATTATTCTTGGATTCTGTTCTATAATACGTAGAAGTGCATTGATCAGTGTTGTAACATTAATATAACCCGATTGGGAATGTAAAAGTCCTTGATAATGTGGAGCAAATTTGAAAAAAGGATACCGAGTTTGTAATTGAGTACTATTTAGATAAATACAATCCATCTGAAGTAATTCACATGTTTTTTGAATAGATGGAAGATCTCCTTCAACCGTCTCAGATGAATTAAAATCACCATAGAATAAATAACCTTCATCAGTGTTAAGAATAGAACCCCGTGATAAATTAGCTAATTGTTCAATTTCTTGCCAGAGAGGTACAGAAAGATTAGCTAATTCAGCTAAGTAAATTTCATTATACATTTGTCGAAATTGTCGCTGATCAAATGTTCCTGAACTACCATCAGAATTCAATAAATTACCTTGTTCAACAACAGCAATACGCAATGTAGATTGCTTTAATGCTAGACGAACAGCTGTTGCTAAACCAATTGGTCCTCCACCAATGATTACAACATCATATGTTTCTTCTTGGATGATAAGAGCTGAACGTAATGAAGATAAAAGAGCACCTTCAACCCAAGCATGTGCTGAACTAGTGTGTTCCCCAATAAAATGAATGTTTGATACAGATGCTTTTAATACATCAAAAATATCTGTTTCTTGCAAAGGTGTAAACAATGCAAAAGCACCTCTTACGTATTCATCTTGACACCAATGTTTTACTTTGCCTCCTCGAAAGAAATCACGCATATTATCACCAGTTGTTGGATGAATTTCAATCAAATTTTTTAAAGCAAGTTCAATCGCATCATCATCACTAAGTGATTGCCATAGTAATGAATCTTGTGACCAAGTATATGAAGCAAGTATAACACCACCGTTTACATTCGAATTTTGTGGGTAATAAACAAAACGAATGGGAAGATCAGTAATACTTCGACCACCATTTATATTCTCATTATTGTACCACCATGATGAATTGAAGAAAAGAATAACTTTGCTAGAACAATCATAATGTACTTGTCGCATTGCTCGATATTTCTCAGTAAAATCTGATCTCTTATCAAAATCGATCAATTGAGCAGCTGGAGCTGTAGTGGCTACAATTACTGAATCAAATAGATTATTATTGTTGGTATTATTTGAAGATACAATTCGAACACGTTCTGAGGCATACAATTGTATTTGAGTGACTTTACTATTTAATAACAAACTACATCGTCCTTGTTCAATCGCTAAACATTCATTAACCATAGCATTAATTAATAAATCATTTCCACCTTGGATTTGATAGAATTTGATAGAATCATTTAGTATAAGCATGTCACGAATACTTTCGAGAAGTGATGTAAATAAATTTGTTTCTAAATTTAACATTAAGCTTATATAGTCAATCGCTGCACGTGATAAACCGACTGAAGCAAGATATGAACTGATACTGTATGAATCCCATCGAGTTCTAACAGCATTCCAACCTTGAGTGAAAAATAGATTAAGCAATGGTTGTACAGCTTCATTCCACAATTGATCAGGTGTCTAAACAAATATCTTGATTTGTCATAAAGATAAATTCACTGTTTTTCTAGAAACCACACCTTGATAAATTAGACAGACATTTCGAAGTCATGTTATTAGAATATCAAAAGCAATTTCGAATGTCTCACTCTTATATTTGACTATACGATGATAATCTTCTTATTATCAGAGGACTCATGAGAAATCAAAATTATCCTGCTTCACTTTACTATCCTTTAAGCTACTACAGCATTTCTATGTGCTATCTACCTTTAACCGTTTACTTCCTTTCCTCCGTTTAGTCTTTTAGTTCTTGTACTACCTTTAGTTTCTTAAAAACGTTTTAGAACTTCAAAATTTATGAATATTGAAATGTAGAAACAGGAGTGAAAGATTAATGCATATTACGCTCAGAAACACTATGTTTTGTTATACATTTCCAAGGTTTTCTTGTTAAAGACTCTAAATAGTGTGGATCATTTTTGTTTTTCTCATTGGTTTAACAACTTATCCAATGATATATTATTTCTTTATTCTTTTTTTATGATCTTAAAAGAATATAACTATATCCTGTTGCATTGGTCACTATGGCTAAATGGTTAGGGTATTTGATGCATATCCACAAAGTACTGTATTCGAATCTCAACGTCATCAAACACAGAAGGACCTTGGACAAGTTACTAATGGCTGTTTGTCTTGGATCATTCGTCCGATAGCAAATTGACTACTTGGTTGGTATACACAAAAAAGGGTCTTGTGGCTAGTATGTGGTTAGTCAGTATGTACGGAGAGCTTTAATAATTAAGGAGAAGAACTCTGAGTGAGACCAGCCTTCTGTCTAGAACTACAGCTAGTGATAATTGTAGGAAAAATATTGGGCCATTGAATCTGTCTTTGAACAGCATCCTATATCGCAAGGTAACCGAAAAGGAGGGTATTCTTCGTCTTCTTCTTCTGTCGCATTACTTCGATCATTTATGATGGAAGAATATTCCTCGTGCTTGTACTACTTTTAAACGATACGCAATCGTCTCAGTTAGCCTGTGTCAAATTTAAGCGAGAAATCACAAAATATTCGATTACAATCATACACATTTTATCTACTACGAATCAGTTAGAATTAAAAATTAATCAATAAAAAAAATCGAAATTCAACTGATTATTCTGATCTTTTTCGATTATAATTGATTTACAATTGTGCAAAAAATATCGCTTTTAATCAACTTTACTTGAGGATAAATGATACAATCTTAAACCAATTTTCTTTGATTTGCATCAATTATAATCATCTTTTCTATTAATAACGAATCAATTGTAACCGAAAATAATTAGAATAATTAGTTGAACTTCGATTGTTTTGATTAATTTTTGATTCTAACTGATTCCTGATGAATTAAATGTGTATGATTTTAATTAATTATTTTGTGATCTTTCTCTTAAATTTTACATAGAAAAACTGAAATGACTGCTTATCACTTAAAAGTAGCACACTACCAATGGCCAAGTGACTGCAAATCGTATTTTTGGTATAACTTTTAATAGAAACAAGATAGAGAGCTGCGATTTTTACCATTGGAAAGAGGACAAAGACGCGTCGAATCGTATGCTACAGGCTATTTAATCTGGTTTTTCTAAGGTTTTCAATTGAGCTTTTTGAAAAACAACATACTCGATAGGTGACTATTGCAAATTTCAATCACCTGATGTGCACTGAAATCGCCAGTTAAAAATCTACAAAACTGCGGAAGACTCGGATTTTTAGCTTCAATCGTTCATGAATTAATAGATATTCTACTCGAAACTCTAAACCGATTTGTCTAGCAATTCCTCTGAAAAAAAGTCACTTTTTTTGCTTTTTCTTTTTTGATAAAACCATTTTTTCGCTACTGTTTTTAGAAAATTGAATTAAAAAGCCTCAGGCAACAATTAGAGAAAACTCGTAATATACGATGCAATGCGTCTTCATCTCCTCTTTCCAAGGATGAAAAACACAGCTCTCTATCTTGTTTCTATCAAAAGTTACACCAAAACTACAATTTGCAGTCATTTTGTCGGTGATAGACACTTACAAGACCTATCCTTCGATCATAAATGATCCAAGCAATGCGACAAAATATAATCAAGTCCTGTAAAGATCAAGGAAAATAATATATCATTGGATGAGTTGGTAAACTAATGAGAAAACAAAAATAGTTCACACTATTTAGGGCGTGAAAAAACGCTCGAATAATATTTCGACATTTTTATCTTATTAAATATTAATATCTATAATATTCTACATTACCTTTCCTTTTTCGGTTATGTTAACTTTAAATCCAAATAAATCAGGATTTTCGTCAGCTTGTTTCATAGTTACAGAAATTCCATTTATATATACAATTGTATTCGGATCATATGATGGAAATTCAGTGACGTTGAGTTGATATTTGTCTCGTATCATTGTATTTAAATATGGATGAGCGTTGAGAGGAAAGCGCATAGCACCCAATTCACCAAAGAATAAATTAGGATTTTTTGAATCCCGATATGTATAAATACGGCCACCTGCTATTTGATTAGCTTCATAGATGATGACAGTATGACCTGACTTTGCTAGTAGAATAGCAGCGTACAAGCCTGATACTCCTGTGAAACATAGAACAATTTATTCCTTCCTTTTTTTGTTATTATTTGAGAACAAAAATACCTGCGCCAATGATACCAATTCGATGGCACTGTTGACATTTAGGCAAACCGTATTGATGAGTGTTATTCATTTGCCGAGAGTATTCTTGAGATATATCAAAATCTGTTAAAATGTCGATACTCTTTGATTTTGTTACAACTCGTGCTTTAGCCAGTAGCAAAGCATATTCCGGTTCTGTCATTGACGCAAATGTTACGCTACACAAGCTTATGATGAATATACTATACCACAAATGCAGCATTGTATGTTTGAAAAAGTGAGAAAGAACATATAGTGATCAGAATGTGACATTTTACATAATGTTTATGTGAAAAACAAATGTCATCAAGTTCGAAATTTACTTCCTTTTTTTTCTCTGATGAATCATATTGTCGTTTTTTATTTCCAATGAAAAATTAAATTTCGTCAACATATCGAAAATGAGTAACATTGTATTACGTAGTAAATTGGTATACAAAAAGGAAGAAGAAATGATAAATTTTAGTGTAGATGGAATAGTTTTAGAACATTGACAATATTCACATATCATTATGTCAACAGAGAAATAATGAGGTCTTGTAGCACGATCATTTATATTCTCGTATAAATATTCCAGTCTATTGATGGTCTGCTACTTTTTTTCTTTGAATTCGAAATTTAGAATTGGCTTCCATCAACATTATTACCGGTATAGTAAAGACATTAGAGAAGCTTTTTCATGTCCATTTTCTTTTCTTGTACTGAAGCAGTATTAACATTGACGTAGCCCTCTTATAAGGCTATGTGAGATCTTTGGATGAGCTATGATGTTCATAATTGGCTCAGTTCATGATTTATTCTTCAAAAATCTTTAAGCACAGCTCATATACGAAGAACATAGGTTCGAGAACTTTCGTTAACTACTGTACATTAGAGATCAGCGGGGATCGGAACTGAAAAATTTTCGGAACCAGGGTTAGGAACTCCAAATATTGTAGGATACTTCCTGAAAAATATTTTTTCTTTTTCTGTAACATAAACTTCAATATTTTGATTTTAAACATTTACTCAATAATCACAGCTTTTTTTAAATATGGTCAGATTCCATTTAGGATAGTTCTTCCTGGTCGATGTCTCTCATTTGATCCTTCTTTATACTTAATAATCACAATTATTCTTCGAAATTTCTTCGTTGAAATTTTTTTCTCATCAACTATATAAAACGGTGTGTTAGTTTGTTCTAAAACTTCCGATAATTCTTTGTCCTAGTTCAGTTTATAACTAAAGATCATTTAATATTCATGGAATATGAAAATTTTTTCCATAAATTTAGATCTTTCTTGAACTGTAATTTAAAAATTGACTATAATAAAAGATTTAAAGATGATCACTAATGAAAAAACTGATTCAAATGAACATAGTTTACCAAAAATACGAAGAAAAACAGATTTTACCATACTCTGTTTAACATTCATTCTTGTCTATACATCTTACAATGCTGTAACAAATTTGCAATCGAGTATTCATACGGACAATACTATTGGCTATCATTCATTAGCAATTATATCTGGATGTTCTATCTTATCATGTCTTATCTTTACAAACCCTCTCATTTTCATAGGTGGATATAAATGGACGATTGTATTAGCTCAATTCGGTTTTCTAATATATATCGCCGCTAATATGTATCCTAAAGTATGGCTCATGCATCCAGGTAAATGTGAAATAAATCTTATATTTCATCATTTCTTTTTTTTTTGGTATTTTTTAAAGCTTCGGTTTTCTGTGGTTTATTTCGAGCTGGTTTTTGGACGGCACTCAGTGCTTATATTACTGATTTAGGTACCAGCAAACAAGCTGGACCTATAACAGATGCTGTCATTAACAAATATTTTGGAATCTTCTTTTCAGCATTTCAAACTAGTAATAAGTTATTAGTTACTTGAAATATTGTGTTCTCTTGTGTAAATATAGGTCAAATTTGGGGAAATTTAGTGGTATATCTTGTCTTACGAAATGGCAACAACAATAGTAGCAATATACTGACGAGTATTCAAAATTCTAGTGAATTACAGTGTGGTGTTGACTTCCCACGAAGTGAACAGAAAGAAACGAATGCGTCTACCATCATAGGTAATACAATGGTAGGTTAATTAGAGAAACTATTTCAATTTTTAAACTTTCTATTTTCAAAAAAAAAACTGACATCTAAATATTTAAGTACAAAAAATGTTTCTATTTCTAATGAATAGGCGTATATTCTCTATGGCATTTTTATGGGATTAATTTTCATTTCAATTGTTCTTGTTATTATAATGCTCGATCAAAAACGTAAATGGAAAAGTATTGTACTATTAAAATTAATTCTAGTTTTAGCTTATGATGCCCATATGTTTGTAGACGCTACACCAAAACATTTATTGATCGATTCTCGACACTTTATTGTCTCAACATTCAAACAGATGAAATCCATTAAACAGCTTCTTCTTTTACCTTTGGCGTTTTGGATTGGAACGTCCGAAGCCTTTTTGTTCGGTATTTTTACAAGTGTAAGCAAAGAAAAAACGAGTCGTTAAATAACAATCGACTTATATTTTTTCCATATTAGAGTTTCATCACTTGCACAGTCGGACTACCGTATGTTGGTGAGTAAAGTATAATAGATTATTTTCCATTGCGCTCTATTTTCTTTAAGGTCTCATAATGATCACATATGGTGTAACTGCTTCTGTTTGCAGTGTAATAGTTGGTTGGCTTGGAAGATACCGTATTCGTGTACCATGTTATATTTTAGGTGCCCTTTTATGTTATGCATCTTATATAGTAATGTTTTTATGGAAACCAGTGCCATCACAAGTTTATATACTCTTTATACTAGTCGGAATGAAAGGCATTGCTAGTGCTATATGGGATCCAATAGAGGCTGGTAAGTGAAATATTAATACGATACTGGAACCAAAAAGATTGATTCTGCTAGATACTCAAAAAAAAAACCTACTTTCGCATAACGTTTGATGAATATGATCTCATTAAAATATTTTTTCAATTTAGCATTGTACGGGAGTTTATTTGAGAAGAAAGAAGAAGCTGCTTATTCGAATATGTGGTTAGGTCAAAATGTTGATTATCTTGTTGTTTACTTATATGGATCAGTGGTGTATGTACGTACAGCAATTATCTTACAAATTATATATTTAACAGTGGCTATGGTGGGATACTTTGGCGTAGAAATTCAACAATGTAAAAAAAACTTTCACGAACATCATCTACTGACAATCTCATAATAGTACCTATCATTTCTGTTATTATATATTATATGTCTAGCCTACATGTCTTTTTTCTGTTTTCTTTTTCTCTGCCTTATGATGCTATACATAACTAGTTAAAGTGCGAGTGTGGATGTAGGTACCACTTAGAAGAGAACCTAGGCCCACATCTATATCTACACCCTCATCTCTTACGCTATAATTTATTATTAGTCTCTATTTCTTAATTGAGCAACTATTGTTTGTAAGCTCTCACTATTACACATTCTATTCTGCTGCTTGCTTGTCATGTTGTTGTAATGTTCATAATCCGTAATAAATATCAAAACTTGGACTCAATGACCTTGTATTTTATACGATAAATTCGTAAGGAAGAGAGAACAGCTGCGTAAATATATAGTATGTCTGAGTAGAAAGTTAAGTAAGAACGAAAAAGAGTGAAGCAATGTTGACTGTAATCGTGAAAAGGAAGAAATAGAAGTGAAAGTGAACTCAATCAATTCCTTACATAAATAATATTTAAAAATTCCGTCAATGAAAAACAAGTTATTTATACGCATATGATCATATGGAAGCTGATTTTTACTGATACCACGATAGAAAGAAGTATTTCGGTGATAAATAACATATGAGACAGCGAATATATAATTATTTTGTATCCAACTAAGGACAATAAAATGCACTATGTTTTTAATCCTACCTTTTGTATCATCGCTCTCTTTAATCTCTTCATTTTGTCTGTCTCTTGTGATGATAGTCGAAAAGTGATCGAATCTGCACTATGTAGAAAAATTAAATCTCATCATATGCCGAAGCCACGTTCGGGAAACGAAAATGAAGATCTATGTCAAGAGAAATTAAATAAACTTGATCACGTACAAGATTATGATATGTTTCATTTTTTACTTCTCTACAATTAGATGGAACAATGTTGATTGATGACTATTATGCAAGCATCTGTGTTACGCACCGTGCATTTTAATCTTCTTTGTCGCTTTTTATTTGAATAAAAAAAAGTTGATACAACCAGTCTTGCAAAACAACGGTAATTTCTGAAGAAGAGAACAACAATATTTCGAATTGATGTATGAATGGGCTTGGGAATTTTGTAGGATGGCTTTAGTTCAGCTAATTACACACAACTTCGTAGAAAAGATTGACGGGTTTTGAGAACATCTGTATTGCTTCTGTTTGACTGCTCTGACCGTTATCTCTCAAGCATCTGTTCTTTAGTATTTAATTTGATGATGAACAAAATACATCGTTGATTCAATGTATCAAGAAACTCAGACAATAGTCTGCAACTTTTTAAGGCTCAATTTTGATATTGTATACACCAAAAAAAACAAGACTTAGTAAAAAGTTCGTAATTCTGTTTCTTCATACAAGCATCACATTCTCGAAGTGAAAAATGGCCTTGTCACCCTTAATGTGCACTATTTGAATAATGTTATAGTCAATTTTATATTTTATTACATTTTCTATTTCATACAATATTGATGCACATATAACCATAGATGATTAATGTGTACATTAAAGTGTTGTTTATTGACTGACTAAAAAAAAAGAATGACTCAATATTCTTCATACGCCATATGTGACAATTAACTGAGTAAAGCGGTACACGTCAATGACGTCCTCTTTCTGAAAATAACTTCTATAAAACGAATAGTTATTCTCTTTCTTTACTCAATAACTTCTTTAGAATGAGTAATGTATCGTCTTTCTGTTTGGTTCATATATGTTTGAGCAGTGATTAATTGCCTTTTCAAGGAGACAACAAATAGTTCGTTGGCAGTGACGTAGCCAAGGGAAGAGCAAATGGGCAATTGTCCATTTCATTTGGAGATTTTCCCATTGAAGTTTTACTTTTCAGAATGGCTTATTTATTTTTGAATTAGATAGTAACTCTATTTTTATTCTTCCGTTTGAATCACATATGTACTTTTTACTTGTTCTTTTTGTGAACAATTAAGAAAAGAAGAAGGAAGAAATTGCTTCTGGTTACTTTTTTTGTTTATCGACTAATACTTTATTTCCAAAAGTATTCCATTGTAAAGAAAGACAACACAAACATTATATAACTTAGAGTGAAAGTTCCTGTACTGTAAGCTAAGGAAATTGATCATAGTCAGTTCAAATGAATGCTCTCACTGTCAAACCAACTAATTAAAAATATGAGCTGCCAATAGCATATACAGACCGAGATATTCGAGTTTCAAGAAATTTATAGTTTGTTTTGTACCCACACTACGCAATTTTATCAACACTTAGTTTTCTTCTTTTGTCATGGTTGGATGAAGCACGACCATTTGCATAAGAAAAAACAATATCACGCATATTAAAAAGCAATTTTCTACGGAGTCTAAGACAACATTTTTTTAATTATAAGGGTAATAAACAAAACATTCTAATTGCTGTCAAATTGCTTTTAAATGTGTGTAATATTGCTTCTTCTTATGTAAATAGTCGTGTTCCATTCAACTATGACGAAAAAAGAGAACTAAAGGTTGATGAAATTTCGTAGTGTGGGCACATAACAAACTATAAATATTGTGAAATGTAAACATCTCGGTCTATGAGTGAGAACATTCATTTGATCCGACTATGATCAACCTCCTTTGTTCGCAGTTACATGGCCTTCAATGATTAGTTAATACAAAAACAGCTAGCAAAAAAACACCTAGTGTCGGATTCTTTTACGAAGCCCAAAACTCTGTTTATGAAAAATATGTGCAAACAAATCATATGCGTAAACTATGCAGATCAAAAAATCTTACGAAAAATAATAGAGGCTATAGAACTTTACAGAAACAGTTTTGTAAATGTCCATGCTCTGTTCGAATAATTTAGAGTGGAGTCAAGGCGATTAATTTTAGAAGAGAAGAAATGGAAGATAAGAAAGAGTCATACTTAGTAGTTCTCTAATATACAGACGACTTGACATATAAGCTAGTATGAAAGAGTCTACTGGATTAGTCTGTCTCTCGTGTGGGTTTCATACATAACTTTGTTGATATCTTTGCTATTCATGCTTCATCTGTACAAATGAAAAGTTCATCTGATTCGAGAAATTTTACTTTCAATCAAAATGTATCGAATAAAAGCATGACTCAATCACTAATCTTTCGAGCAGTATCATATACCAACGGAATCTGTGCATGGAATAAAAACATGTTTATTTCATCTTTTTTATCATCTCGATTATAATTAAGCTGAATTAATGTACATTGAATTTATAGTCCTGATTTTTCTTTCAACACCTTTATTTGCTTTTTGGAGTAGAAGATAATATCATTGCTATGCTTTAGACTGTTGGAGCAACCGTTGTCGTAGTGGGTGGAGGCGGACGACTACAATCAAAGCCCGAAAATCCATTTGAACATACACATATACCATAAGCATAGGCACCCAATGGTTGACAGGTACCCTGTGCTGCATTTGTGCATTGATTTTCACAATAGACTGTAGACGTCTTGTTGACATACTCTTCGAGTGCTTGCATGATGTAACCTGCTTTCTCTTGAATATTAGTGTCATTGGGAAAACGTTCAGGTGTTATCAAATCGAAAATAGATTGAATGGTGAACTTTATTATAACTGGATTGTCACGAATTGTCTGAAACCATTCATTAAGCTTTTGATCGTTCTTGTATATCTCACCACCTACATAAAATTTTCATTTATTACATATGATTTGGATTTTAAAAATATCTTGAGGAGAGCTGTTTAGCTACTTGAAATTTCTATATATTCAGATTCATTTATAAACTCTTTAAAGTAATCCTTAGATAGACTGCTCTGATTGAATCATGTGTCATCTAAGAGAACAATTTGAAAGTCTTCGAGTTCTAGAGGTGCTCAAAAACAACATGAAAAAAATTCTGAAGTCTTGCACTACCCTATACGAAATGTATAAACTCACCAATAGTGGTTGCCATCGATGATTTAACATAGCGTTGAAATGTTTCAAATTTGCTCAAGTTCTCCATTTCATTTTCGTTGTAGTTGAAATTAAATATTTTGCTAAATGACAATTGAACCATCTCTGTGGCACTTATACCTTCCTGTTGTAATGGAACAATCGATGATTGGTTTATCACAGTTGTCATTTGAGCAATCCCACCTTAAAAATTATTTGTTTAGATAAAAAGATAAATGCAAATATTCACATACCAAGCAATAATTCAGTGATATACGTAAAGCCAAAATAATTGATGATGTAGTCCTGAATGTATTTCTTCACAGCTGATGTGTATGTGCCAGTTGCTGGAAGATTTTGTATGACATAACGGAAATTATCGGATAGCTCAAGTTTTGGTTCAAATAACGACAGTTTCACGGTAGACACCCTAGCATAGGTATGATACACAATCGACTCATCCCGATAGATGTTATTCATCATGAATGTAGTCTGTTGGGATTGACCATAGCCGAAGGCAAGTGAAATTATAGGCGGGATCTTTGGATTTGTCAAACTGATTTCACCACCAATACTCCAGCTGTATCCTTGTGCCATACTCTCTTTCAACTCTATGAGATTGGAAATTTTCTGAGTTTTCTCGCGTACTTCTGTGGATGGAATACAATCAAGCTACAAATTAATGAAAAGATGACACAAAATTAATGAGTGCATCGTTTAGAAATATCTCAGAATCTGCTCATGATGATAAAAAAAAATGTTAACTCCTTAAAAATGAAAGATGTTGGTCGATAGAAAATTTCAAACGATTTTGCATCTAATATACTATCCACTAAAATACTCACTTCGACATTTTTTGGAATCAATTTTGTCGTGCAAGAGCCTTGCGGTGGATTTGTGTAGTCCAACTGAAAGATGCTTCGACCGAACCCACTCATATGGCAATCACCCGTATAGCAGACAGGATCACCTCGTATCTGTTAACATTAACAAAATATTCGAATCTTTTTCAAATGACATTTCTTACAGGATTGTACCCATATGCGATTTTGTTCGAATTGGGCAGCCAATTGAAATCATCAATTTCCTTAGCCTGTGGCATAGCGAGGTATCGGCCGACACTTTCATAAACAGCCCAATGTTGTAATTCTTCCCATTCTGAATCACCCACGATTCGAAACGCATGCAGCGTGCTTGCAAACAATACGATTAGTAGTAAGAGAGATTTCATGGTTGATTGTAGAGTTTATACGATGAAGAAAAGTTTTCAACTGTATTTATAGTAGCAGTACTTCCGCCTGATAACATTAATTGCGCAGGGTTGAATAAGTATAAATCATATCTGTTTTATACTAATCTTTCCAAACAAATATTTAAAGTAAGGATTGGCTAAATTAAGAAGCAAGGATTCAACAAGTGCAAATATTGATGAATTCACAATCGTTATCAAACTTCCAACATACATGTGAAACAAATATTTATAACGTCAACAAAAGATATGAAATAATAAAAATACTATTGGTAAATATTTGAAGTTGGAAACGATAAAATACTGCATCGTATTTCTTCTTTATATTTTCGTGATTCAAAGAGTATTTTTTCAGTCTTATGAAGTTCAAAATTGCGCTCCTGTGCTTATTTGTTCTGGTGTCGCCGATAGTCACCATTTCCATTACTCTAAAAAACAATGAAGTGAAGGCTAATTGGTTGCCAAACAGCAATAAGATTGCTCTTGGCTACAATCCATCACACGGAAACCCAGTATGCTATTCGGGTGACTGTGTAATGAGTGGATTTGGTGCTCCTATCTTTCAACTGAACTACACCAAACAATCGATTGGTTCTTGTTTGACTAAACTTGTGCCGGAACATGTTGAAGTAAGACAAATCATCTTCCATTAAATATCGACTGTTTTTTTTTACTGAATTTCTTCAAAACAAAGGTCATCTGTATACCGGCATCTGAAGTACGTGCGAAGACCGAAAAGATCAGTACGTTCTATGAATATAAAGAAAGTTATAGTAAAAGCGAGAGCTCAGGCTTCAACTTTGGTCCAATCAGCTTTGGCTCATCTGACGAGACAAGGTGGATGCTCGACAATATTTACAAGTACAATTATACAATGTATTATACATATGTTCGAATGTCATTTGTCAAGCTTACACTCTTTGAACCTCGATTGGAGTTGACCAATGATTTTCGAGCAGCTATTGCCGCCATGCCTTGTTGTCATGTTAACTGTGAAATGACGGAGTTATATATTCGAAAGTCAATCTTCGATCAGTTTGGATACACTTATCTCAATGAGATTTTGCTAGGTAATCATATTTTCAATTGTAAAATTTATTTTCTACTGCATAATGTAAGGAAATCAATGTATGCAATCTATGCATAGATGTTCAATCTAGTCTTGTTTTTCATGAAAAGTTTATTTGAATCTAATATTTATGCGATCTCGAATACAGAAATCTTAAAAAGATTAACAAAAAATCAGAACTTTTTTGTATGTTAAAATCTCATCAGTAGTTTAATTAAATCATATATTCGTATATCTAATAAACTTTCTCGATCTTATTTTCAGGTGGAGTGGCTCAACAACTGATCACAATCAATAGTTCTGACATTGAGAAAATCTACCAAGAGGGTTACAACAACGAGAACGAAGCAGGCTTTTCTTTTATAATTTCCTTTCAAGGAAAGGAAAGCGAGTCGCATAGTAAAGAAAATCATACTAAATTCATGAGCTATGTCAAACATGTCTATGCATCGACATCGGGCGGTAAACCATTTGATAATTCAATAGAAAATGATACGATAAAAGTAAATAAACTGAACGAATGGTTCAAAACAGTCCCCGATAATCCAGTGATTACACGAATGAGAATAAATAAACTGACAGAGTTACTCACAAAAGAACGATTTCCATTGGATCCATTTATCGAAGATAAGGCAAGACTTATCGAGCACGTATGGGCAAAGTTTGATGGCAATCAGACTAAAGCAAAATGTGTAAATGATTGTACAAGTGCATGCCATGGCCGATGTGTACTAACTGGCTATTTTCAATTTGGTTTGTGCCAATGTAATGCAGGTTTCACTGGACATGATTGCTCAGTGAGACAAGTTTGATATGGAAATATATTGTATTATTAGATATTCAAGAATTCAAAATAAACTATTTAAACTTTTAATTCTAGCACTGATTTTCAGAAAAACAAGAGATATATTTCCAATAAAATTCATATTCATGTAGATAACCAACTAACAAAATTTCAGATGTTCAACAATTCGACTTGATAAGAACTTTGAATATAAAACTGACTTGAAGCTGTCAGATGATTGATTGAATATAAACAAATTGTCAAAAAAACTTAATTTAAAAGGTAGATATATCGTTCAAAATTTAGTTATCTATATTAGTTAACTTGCTTTTTAGCCCACTAATAGTCTAAACTTAATTTTATCTACGTTATATGATATACACATTGTGAAAACCCTAAATCAGTCGTATACGAGCTAAAATATATGAACGATCATCATTGATTTTTTTTTATTGAGACGATTATGATGTTATTTTTACGACTTGTCAAGGTGAATGTTGACCTTTTGAATAGCCTGTTATGTACAAAAATTTAGTTTAGTGTACGAATTCTATGTAAGATAAGCATACTTTTTTAATGTATTTACATAGCTCTTTTATGTTTGACACGATGACACAATGAAGATATTCTCTGAAAAAAGTACACATAGTTTTTACTAAATCAAGGATGGTATAGATTTTGATTTTACAGAGCTCCTATCTCAAAATTGGTTGAATAATTTATTTTTTCGTCAGAAAAACATTGTATTGCAAAGATCTGGCATGTATTATAAATTCAGATCATTGAGAAAATCAGAATTTTCATCGTATGTTCTCAGTATTTTGTTTCTCTTGAGCCAAAGCTACAATACTTCTCCTTGAATAAACAATGTATTCACTCTGATTTTGGAAAAAGCTGTTGCTGCTGAAGAAGTCTCAGCTCAATCAATGGCAATAGGCCGAAGGAAAAAGAGAAAATCTTTAGGTTATTTGTAATCCCTAGATCTCGTTGATGAAAGTATGTGAGTATTGGTGTGGATGAAGAAAACCCTCATATTTCCGTCGTAATGCATGGATCAAAACAAGTCAATCGGTGGGTAGATGTGGATATGAGTGATTAACCACAGTTAGTAGTTATAGCAGAAGCATTAGAGCCCATCAGGTCCTAACCATCACTAAACGATGATGTTTTGTCTTCCTAAAGTAAAGACGAAATACATCAATGCCATCATATTATTTACTTTGTTTAAAAAACATTTATATTATGATCAGATCATCTCTTCTTTTATCAAAAAATAATATTATAACATGTACTTGACAACACAATCAACATCAAAGCTGCACTAAATTTTAAAGTAAATATAAAAATCATCCTAATGACAAGACAAGAAAATTTCGTTTTTAGTGTTCTTTTATTTTTGTTTTAAAGAAGATAGATCAAAATAAAATAACAAAAATGTTTAAAGTTCTTGTTTAACAATCATTATTCTAAATAATGTCTATTCAGATTGTTACACCGGGTTTTTTTTCTCTTACTCAATGTTTTTGACTCGAAGAAAAAAAAAAGACAAAGTAGAAACATTCAACAGATCTATCAGCAGTGATCAAATACAAAAAAGACATAATAAAGAAACAGAAAAATTAACCGATGCACAGACAAAAAAAAGATTCAGTGTATATCTGACGTTTAACAAGTATTTATTTTTGATCAACAGTAACTTCAGTTGAACTTAAATCATTGGTTTTTTTTTTCATCATTATTGGTTGTTGATTCTTCAACCTGTTTAATAGAGAAATAAAGAAGTTTTAGATATTGTTTAATGTTAATTTTAACCTTATTATTTTGTTCATCTTCTGTTAATTTAATTGTTAAATCTTTTTCATCATTTGATTGTGTTATTGTTGATAATGAAATAGTTGAATTAAAAACAGATGATTTATTTGATCTTGTTCTTTCAACAAGATGTTGTTGTTTTTTAGCTGCATTTTCTTCATTGGCTATACGAATTTTTTCTAATTTATCCATTAATGAATCAAATAATTCTTTTGATGTATCATCTAATTCATTATAATATTGTTTTTGTATCCAAAAACCATCATCTGTTGTACAACTAATTTCTTTTGTTTTTAGACATGTTTGTTTAGATTTATGTTGTGGTGGAATTAATGATGATAATGAACAATCATTTTGTTGGTATTGTTGATCATTATATGTATGTGTTTGACCATTATTTGTATTATTAAAATCATTAACTTCACCTGGACTTTCATCTGTTTTACATGATGCTGATGTTGGTTGATAAGTAGATAAAAGTTGCCATTCGACGTAAGTTGATTTTGATGATTCAATTGGTACAGCTTTTATAATTAAATCACTCAAAAGTTGACGACCTCTTTCAAGAATATGTTCTTGTCGTTCATTAAGTTCTTTTTCAAGTTGATCAGGTAAATCTTTTTTTCTGCATCAAGAGTAGCCAAATGTTCTCGAATATGAACTTTCAAATCATTTTTAATTTTTAGAAAACAAAAAACAACAAAATTATTTTTATTAAAATTATTTTTAAATTACTTGCTGTTTGTGTATTAGAAGCAGCATAAAGTTGTTGTTGACGTTCTTCTTCAATTGGAGTAAGTAGACTTGCTTTTTCTGCACCACGTTTAGGACCACGTTGATGAATACAATCATCCAAATCATGTTCACTTCCTAGAAAACAAAGAAAAACAACAAAATTTTTTCTCTTAATTAAAATGATTTTTAAATTAATATCAGTCATACCTAAATTAATATCAACAAGAGGTTTTTGTTCTATTTCGATTCGATCAATTGATGAAGATTGTTTTGTATCAAGTTTAGCAACATTATTTTCCATTTCTAAAAAGTAAAAAACAACAAAATTTTTTCTTTTAATTAAAGCTATCTTTAAACTAATATCAGCTGTACCTGATTGAGCATAAATAACAAGTTGTTTTTGTTGTTGTTGAATTTCAACAATTACTTGATCAAGACATTTTGAAATCTTTGCATGAATTTCTCGTGCATATTCATGATTAACATTAGGGGTGTCAGCGTTCCCCGTTCCTAGGAACGGAACGCAAAGTTAACACCCCTATAAATTCACATATTGTTCGAGTACGTTTTTGACATGTTTTTCTTTGTTCAAATTTTTTGATATTTGTTGAAATTTTTCTGGTTGATCAACATATAAAGAATTGTTTTTTTCTTTTTGTTCGTTTTCGACAACCTTTATTTGTTTGTTCATCATCTCGTTAATAATAATATTCTAAAACAAAGCGAGAGACAATAAGATGGAAAATTCATTATAGCACTTACTTTATTTTGAACAACATGTTGAAATTTATTTGAAAACATGATTATCTAGAAAATGAAAGAATGTTAATAAAATAGCTTTTGGTCCGTAAATTGTTCAAACAAATAAAACAGTTACCTGAAGAAAGACGAAAAAAAAAGATTTCTTTATCTTCAACAACTTTTTCAACATTAAGAACATATAAAAATTAATTTTAATAAATAAATTTTTTTTCATAATTAAAAGTTTTGAAACAAATGCTAAAGGTTTAATTGAATTTAATAAAAAAAAAAAAAGAAAGAAACATGATTTGATTTCTACCTTGTGGTTTATCAAAATAAAAACAAGATGATCAATATTAATTATTTCTTTTTTATTTCTAAATTCTTGAACAAAAAATCATATAATATAAGCAATTAATGTTGATAATGTTAATTGTAATGAAAAACCAAAATTTTGCATTAATATCTTGATCTTTATGTTGATGTTCCATGAGTTTATGACCGGTTGCGATCAACCATTATGTGAATCAATATTTTTCGTTCATGGTTGGTACTTTTCGTCTTTTTTTCTTTTACAGACGGTGGTATCTGCACCCCTTCCGTCTAACGCTCCTCCTTTTTCCGGACTTGCGACCGGCACAGAGATCACCGGATTGTGATCCCCATGGTGGAGTTAATTAATACTTATGTATACATATAAAAATAAATTTAATATTGTTGGTATTATACATACATCATTTCATATAAATAAAACACTTACATTATCTATCGAAGATAATATACGAAAGACAAATAATGATGTAAGCATGTGTTTTCTCCATTCTTCTCGCTTTATGTATATATATCTGTTTACTTTATTGATTCTTTTAGTACAAATGAAATGCATGAATAAAAGAAAGAAATGAAATAAAGTAGTAAATGATATAATCTACAAATCTATAAATAGATCTATATATATCGCTCGTTCTCTTTAAACAGAAAGGAAATCGATCACAATGAATAATCCAGAACATGTATTAAGAATTTTATTTTCTCTTAATGATCTAATTTTTAGATATACAATACAATATTGTATATAAAAAATTATAAACAATAAAAAAAAAAATTTCTATCTGACATAATGACATTGATTGAATTGGAGTAATCGATGATAGTGATACCGTTGTTGTCAGTTTAGGAAGATTACTAACATACTTTATATTTAATTAGTATATCTCTTCCTTTATTAGTTAATTAAAATTATAACTAAATTAATTATTTTATTTATAACAATAATAAAAATTTAACGTTTCCAACGACAATGTCGTTTTTCCTCAGAAGAGAGAGAGGGATGAAGAACTATTTGATGTTGTATTTTTCTTTAATAATGGTATGGACGAAATAATATTAGTCTGGTACGATAAAGGTATATTTTTTATCTAAAATATCAAATAATTCTTCATTTCTCCCTCTCTCATGTTCATTTCTCATCCTCTTTTACATGATTTTTTTTAAATCAATTGGTTCTTTATATAAATATGTTAATAAAATAGATAATTTTCTTTGTTGTGCAATACCTTACATTTGTAAATGTGTTTTAATAAATTCAACAGGTAAACATATAAATGCTTGTGTACAATCAGCAATACCACCAGTTATTGCTAATGCAAAATAAATATTAGGATGGTTAAATAAATTTTTTGAAAGATTTTGAATAGAAAAAAAAAGCCATTCAATTTATAATTGCAACAGCAAACATTGATGATGACATATCTTTATAAAATTCTAAAATTGATTCTTGTCTTGTAATTTTAATAAAATAATCTAATGAATCAGAATATAAACGATAATTAAGTGTTTGTGTTTGTAAACAAACTTTAACACTATCAAATGAATAATCAACAATTGTAGCAGTTACTTCAACAACAAAATCAAAATCAAATTTAATACTATTAATGAATATGATGTTGAAATAGAACGAAGAAGGTATTTCACAAATAATATGTAGCTGATGCATTGTTGAAAATAGGAAAAAAAATCGTTAACAATAAATGACAAGATGCATTTGTTTTGCACTCGGTTTCCTTTTTTTCTCTTTTTCTTTACATGTTGATCGGCGATTCAAGTAAAAGATAAAACTGTCTCTATTATAATCAGATATTTTTCATGATATCATTCGATTTATTAAAAAAAAATTTTTGTACTTTGGATTACGGAAAGAAAAGTAAAATAATATAAGACATTTTTCAATAGAATAAGTCTACTTATTCGATTCAATTCCAAGTACTCAGATAAATATAGTCCATAGATTTATGATGATGAATGGATGAATGAATGAATATTTTCTGATATTCAGATTATGTCATACACAAATATAGAACTTCATTTTTTATTTATCTGGTTTGATTGACCATCATTTACTTATCACATACGTATTTCAAAATAATAAATGTTAAATGTATGATAAAACAAGATAGAATATATTGCGCATTAATAATAATAATCGTGTATTCTATCGTTCAAAAATCTATCATATTTTACTCAATTTTGATGTTAAATGTATTACTTGTTATTTAAAAAGATTTTGAATTGAAGGGTGTGGGTGTGGGTGTGTGGGGTGTGGGTGTGGGTGTGTGGGGTGTGGGTGTGGGTGTGTGGGTGTGTGGGGTGTGGGTGTGGGTGTGGGTGTCGATTATCTCTTCATTAACACCCTCACTCACACGCCCACATTCACACCCACACCCACCCACACCCCACACCCACACCCAGCCACCCCACACCCACACCCACACCCACACCTACATCCACACCTGCACACGCACACTCTCCACAAAAAGGGAGAAAAAAGTGATTATTAATCATATATCGTTGGAAAGTGTGAAGTTTTTTCCAAGAAAATGCGAGGAAAACATTGCACCTTTAATAACCTCATGACTCATCAGCGTTTTGCAACGTTTCTTCATGCTTCCGAAAATAGTTTTTCTATTGCGTATATATCAAAATGATTCAGAAAATTTTATTCATTTGGCAATTATTTGAAATCAATCTTTACTGAAATTGACTCTATCAAGAGCTATCTTTTTATTAATCAAATATCATCATTTAGGGTACACGTGGTATTTTCGACAAAATTGCATCATACGTATGCAGAGGCCGC